CAAGAACTTAAAAGAACTGAAGAAAAGATGAAGTGCAAAACAAATCTAGAACTGAAGAGAATAGTTAAGTCAGTAAACTCACAACTGTAAGCTTAAAAAGAAGAAACTCTTAACTATTTAAATCTTCAAACTTCAATTCTTCAGTTAAATGTAAATAGAATTTGAATTCTCAAACTTCTGTTAAGATTATAGAATTGAGAAATGACTCTGATGATAAACTAGATATAATGTAAGCAGTTAAGATTTCTACTTTTCAGAATAGTTATAATTTACTATCTGATGATAGTGATTAGATTCTACTCTACTCTCTTTTAATATCAATATATAATAAAAACAACAAAAAAAGTTTAAAAACTCTTCAAAAATCACATTTATTCAAAATAATGTGAATAGAAACTTAAATTGTATTTATTCTTATCTTCAAATTATATTTGAATAAAAAGTTGATTTTATACTGCTTCAGAAGCTGAATTTTGATGCTGAGTAAAAATATATCATTTCTTATTCAAGCTACTACTACTTTTTATCTCAAAAGTCTGAGATAAAGTCAAGAGTAGTAATCTATGAAAGAAAGAGATTAAGATATTAATTTAATCTAAGATTTAATATTATGTCTGACTCTGATATTCTGATGAGTGATATTATGAATAAAGAGAATGAGTTTAATACTATACAGCTTATAAATATCTATAATGAAAAGTCATTGAAGAAAAATAATAACATCTGAATAATTAATAGAGAATTTCTGAATATAACTTTATCAAGAAACTCTATAATTGTAGAAGATTTTAATGCACATCATTTCTGATGAAATTCAGAATACAAAAGAGTAGTAAGAGCTGATAATCTGATTGAATGAATTTTTAAGTATTTAATAGATTTAGTTAATAAGTCTGATTAACAAACATTCTTGAGAAAAGATATGAAACAGAAATCTATTATAGATCTAATCTTCATATTATAAAATCTGATAAAAAAAAGACTTGTAAACTGATTTATTAATTCAAATAAGACATCAGAATCAGATTATGAGATTATTCAATTTAATATTGAACTGAGTGAGAAATAAATGAGTGAAAATCCTCTTCTCTCTAATCAGTTTAACTTTGAAAAAGCTGACTGAAAGACAGTTGAAGAAAGTATAAAACTGTTAAAATCTGAAAGATAGAGTGAGTTATATTGAAATCCTGATCAAGATATCTCAAATGAAATGCTTGAGAATAGAGTGAAGCTCATTACATCTATTATTCTAGTAAGTGTTAAAGATAATATGTCAAAGAGAAAGTCTTCTGAGTATTCAAAACCTTGATGAAATGAGAATATTATATTTAAAAGAAAACAATTGACTACTGCTAGAAGAGATTGAAAGAATGATATAATTTCTGATAAAGAGTTTAAAGCTGTCAGAAATGAATATTTTTCAGATATTAAAAGATCTAAAACAGACTGCTGAAATAAGTTTCTTGAAGAAGCATAAGAAAAGAAAGTTTTTAAAGCTTTTAATTATACTAAAATAAGAAGTGTAGCAAAACTTTCAATTCTAGAATATGAGTTTCAGAATGAATTATATACAGTAAACTCTTTTGAGAAAAAATATCAAGCTTTTATAAGAACTCTCTTTCAAAACTCATCAGATTCAGATTCAGAGAAAGAGAATATATCACTTCTCAACTATATTGATGAAAATGACTGAGAATGGTCTGATCTTACTCAAGATGAATTAGAGTCAGCTATCTTCTCAAGTTCAGTTAAAACTGCTGCAGAGCCTGATTCAATTAATCACTTGATTATTCAAAATATATACTTCTACTTAAAGAATGAATATTTTGAGCTCTTTTTCAATCTCTTGAAAAATGAATATTATTCTGAATGCTGAAGAGAAGTCACTGAAGTGATTCTTATAAAATCTAATAGAAAAACTTCAATTTTTAAGTTATATAAAGTAATATCTCTATTGAACTGTCTAGAAAAGGTTTTAGAAAAGATAATAGCTACTCAACTATCTTTTATAAGCTCTATCAGTAATTCTCTGTTATTCAGTGAATAAATAAGAGATAGAAAACAGTGTTCTGCAATTGACACTGTTCTCTCAGTTATTCATAATATTCAGATAGTAAAGTATGAAGATCTGATCTCAACTGCAGTTTTTATTGATATAAAAGAAGCATTTGATTATATTTTAAAGTCAAAGTTAATTCAGACTTTGAAGATATTAAAACTGTTACTTTCTCTAATAAAATGAGTTAACTGTTTTATATCTAAAAGAATTATATAACTTTTCTTTGATGAAATGAAATAAGATAAGACTGAGATAAAAATAGAAGTACTGTAAGAATCTTTAATCTCACTCATTTTATTTGCAATATACACTGCATATCTATTTAAAAATAGAAATATGAGAATAGTGTAATCTCTGAGTTATGTGAATGATATTGATCTAGTCTACAGCTCAAAAACTATCAAAGAGAATTTAAAAGTAATTGAAGAAGTTATAAAGAAAATCTTTATTAAAGCAGATATTAATCAAATTTAATTTAATATGAATAAAACTGAGTTAATTCATTTCTTTTCTAGATTCAATGAGAAAGAACTATCTCTAACTCTTTTAAATAGAGAGATTAAACTCAGTGTTAATATTAAATGATTAGAAGTATGATTAAACTTCAAGTTGAATTTTAAATATTATATTCAATAAAGAACTGTCAAGGCAGAAAGACTATTAAATAACATAATCAGACTATTAAATACAGAGAGAGATCTATTCTTTCAGGCTATGAGACAGTTATATATAGCCTGTATTACATCAGTAGCTGATTATGAAGTTTAAGTTTGATGAAATAATCAAGAGAATTTCACTGAACTCTTTCAAAGTCTGTAAAACAGAGTCTTGAGAAGAATTCTGAGAGCATTTAAATCATCTTCTATTAAAGCAATGAAAATTGAAGCTTCAATTTCTTCTTCTGCTATTAGATTTAAAAAGACCTGTATAAACTATACTCTGAGAGTTATAAAGATAAGCTTAAATCATATAATCAGAGAAAGAGTCTCTTCTTTATTTTTATCAGTTAACTCAGGAAATGAACTGAATTGAAATAGATTTCTTAATTGAAATGAAAATAATTCTTCAAAGAAAATATCTTCTCAACTGTACAGACTATACTCTCTGATTAAAAATTAATTTTCTTCTTTAAATATTAAAAAAGTTAATCATGAGAAGTTATCTCTCTGAAGAGAAAAGCTTGAATCTCTTATAAACTTATAAATAAGTGAACTATCTAAAGAGAAAGAATATAAACAGCACTTGAAGAGAATTTCTATAATTAATATAAAAGACTCTATTCTGATTTATTTAGATAACTCAAAAAATGAGAATTTGAATAGATTAGATACAGACATTGCTTATACTGAAGATAATATCAATTTTATCTCAGATTTCTGAAATTTAGACTGTGAATCTGAAGTCTTTGATGCTGAACTATTTACAATAGTGAAAGCTTTCAAACTCATTGAAATAAAATCTTATAAAAGAGAAAATAGTTTGAAAGAGATATGAATATTCTCTGATAGTCAAGCTGCTTTAAAAAGACTTAGAAATAGTCAGATTCATAATAATCAAATAAATCTTGAACTGATCTTAAACTCTGTTTTGAAAATTCAAAAGAGAAGAATATCAAAGTTGATAATTCATCTGCACTGAGTTTCTGCTTATATGAATATTCATGATAATGAATTGACTGATTCAGCTGTAAAAAAGAGTGTAGAATTAAGCAGATCTATTTAAAAAATTATATTCTGATCTTTTATAAAGAGAAAAATAAAAGAATCTTGTTTAGATAAGTGAAATAAAAGCTGACAGAAACAAAAGAAGAGTATACATTATTCAAGATTTGAAATAAAACCCAAGTGAAAATCTTGTTCAATTAAATGTAAAAAGAAAATATTCTCATCTATAATACAGCTGAAACTAGAACATGGCTATTTCAAATCTTATATACAAAGATTTGATGATAGATTTGACTCAATAGAATACTCATTCTGCAATATAAATGAGAATTCTGAGTATATTATAATACACTGTGCATTATACAATAGTCTCAGAGCCAGATTGAAAGAGAAGTATGATTTAAATTAATTAAATATAAGATTCTTATTCTCAACTGAGACAGGAATTAAATACTTAATAGACTTTCTATCAGAAACTCAAGCAGCTATAAGAAAATGACTAAATTCAGAAATATCTGAATATGAAGAGAAGGAAATCAATCAGATATAGTCTGTTAAAACAGCTATATACTATCTTTTAATAATTTGTTTTATTACAGTCTCTCTTTACTTTATCTTTTTCTTTCAATTTCTTTCTATCTATCTATTTAATATGTCTATCTTTAAGACTGTGTTCTCTTTTCCTTTGTCATGATATTATCAAATGATTTCAAAGTATCAGAAGATGTTAAAACACTGTAATTTGTAAACAGTTTTTATATTCTGAGCTGAAATTTTCTGATTTTGTATATCTGAAATTGATGAATATATAATAGTTAACTTTACAGATATAGAAAAAACTCTGAGAACTAAAAGTTCTCAGGTAGATATTATAGTCTCTGACTGTATACATCTATAATTGAAGAATAATAATAATAATAATAAATTGAAGCTTTAATTTTTATTACTTTAATAAAAAATAATTTAAATATTTCTAAAATTTTTCTCAAAGCTTTATTTTACAGACTTTGAAAGAGTTTATTGAAATTTCTTTAATTATTTTATTAAACTTAAACTTTATAATCAGCTACTGAGATAATATAAACTATATATAATTGTTTTAAAGTCTGAAAGAATACACCTCTTTCTGTATAATATTAAAGATGAAATATTTGAGAAAAAAGAGATATCAATTCAGAATACATGGCAATCTCATATAAATAGAATGTGGGGTGATTTGAAGTGAAATGTAAAACATGGTGGACACTTCTTAGCTGTATAAATTGAATCTGAGCAGCGGAATTCTTTTGATAGCGCCCTTTAATATATATACCTTGGTACGCAGCAGAAAACCCAAACAGGACTAGCGGCATGTTGGCTCCCCACCGCCTTTCTTTTATCAGAACCTGGACGCCTTGCGCCCGATCTTGACCAGAACTTATCCAAACTACAATCCCAATCATCAACTCTTCGCCGCTACCCAACGAGCTATCATCTAACACGAAACATCAAGTGCCACATATTCGCCCCGCCACCTTGTAGTAAAAAAAATATAGTCGCGCTGTCGGCATCTTGCCTTAGGCTCATCCAATACACCTGTGATCGAGTCCTTCTCGATCGCCGGCCAACGCTCATATTCCGCAGCTACGGCTACTAACGATGAGGCAGAGAAGACAAATATCCCGACTGCAGCCGCTATGAATGATGCTGATGCAGCACTGTCGTTGCCAGCTGTTCCTCCCACCAATCGTGACAATGATCGCCACGTGGAACCCAGCTTAAAGCTTGCCGAAAACAAAATTCCATTACAGGCGCCTCCTACCTCTGACAAGCAGAAACCAGAGGGGGAGAGTGGTGGTAGTGGTAGCGACGATACAGTCAGCATAAAAGCGGACTCAGAGGCGGAAACCATCATCCAGTCGGGGCGGGAGGAGCTATCGCCGGAGAAAAAGAGAAGGTACATACAGCACAAACGCGATAGGAGCCTGGGGAGAGCTGAAGATGAGAGGGACTTTGGAGTCGCATCGTTACCCGAAAGTGGAAAACCACGAAAGCGACTGCGGGTAGAAAGCGATAATGTGGATGGTAGATCTCTCAAAGTGCGTGACCCTGGCGAACAGACTTCGCGAGCCTCATCTCCACCAGGGGAAACGAAGTACACGAAACAGAAGGAAACTGGAGACTCAGAAAAGACGTCTGCCACACGTGGTTTATCCCACTCGCGTTTCGATGGATTAGAGGGGAACAAAAACCGCCAGTCGACGAATCGTTGGTCAAGTGAAGGGGTTCGTGTGGAGGAAGGAGAGCCCCGCCGCCATGGCGACCGTCAACATGTATCAGATTCATCCCACAACAAAATTTCCGACGAAACATCAAACACGTCGCATTCACAACACTTATCTAAGCATCGTTCCACATCACCAGCTTATCGTTTACACCATAGAGTTACATCGGGATCGCACTCATCTATTGATATCAAAAAGAGAAGACGAGCGCGACCGCCGCCTGCGACAGATTCACGCCGCCAAGTTTCAGAGGACCGAGAGTCTACTTCGTCTTCCACCAGTGGATCTCCTTTACCATCTGCTTGTCTGCGCAAGCTAGCTTCTAGCGAGCAAGCCGCGATATCACCCGCAAAACAGATGCAGGTAAAGAAACAACGAGATCAAAATGGTCGGACAAGACTTGCAAGGGCCTGTGCGATGCAGGAAGTCGAGGCTGCGAAAGCGCGCCATGCTGAGCGCCCAGAGGATCTAAATATTTCTGACAACGCGGGGAACACGCCACTTCAGATCGCTGCTCTTGAAGGCTGTGTAGATATCGTTAAGTTCCTAATCGAAGCAGGATGTGAAATCGACACAAGGAATATTGACAGAGATACTCCCCTTATTGATGCTGTGGAAAACGGCCATTTGGAAGTTGTGAAATTGCTTTTGGACGCGGGCGCCAATCCTCGTCTCGGTAATGCGGAGGGCGATGAACCGTACGACCTTGTCCCGTCCGATAGCCAGAACTACGAGGAAATGCGAAAAATCATAGCGGAAGCCAAAGCCAAGGGGCAACGACGAAAGTCTGCAGATCAATCTGTTCGCGCCACTTCTTCCGGCAGGGATCCTTCATCGCGGGGCGCATCGGCAGCCAGTCCTCGTGATTCTCCCCCGGTTCATGGCCAGCGAAGTCCTCCTCCACCTAGTCTAGGAGCTCGTAGGAGAACCGTGAGGAGTGAGGCAACAAGGAACGATTTGTTATGGACAAAAGCAACTCCGGAAAATCTTCGAGATTTTGCTGCTAAGGGGGATATGGCTGGTGTGGCAAATATCCTTAACGTGGGACAAAAAGCTGATCCCGAGTCGCTAATTGCCGCTGCGAAAGGTGGACATGACGAAGTCTTGGGGATTCTGTTGGGCATGGGCGATCCAGACCCGGATCCGGAGCCGCTATTAACTGGTAACCACAATAAACCGGGGTATAACACTCCCATGCTCGCTGCAATCGGCAGAGGGAACACTGCGGTTATTCAACTCTTACTAGACCAACGAGGATTTGACCCCACGCGTCTTGACCGCCGTGGCCGAACATATTACGAATTATCAAGAGAACGTAAAGGAGATCACTGGGAAAGAGAGTATGAACTTTTAAAACGAGCATATGATAACCATTTAAGAACCCTCAAGAACCGCAGGCCTGATACGAAATCTCCTCGAAGGGTTCGTGATAAAGACACAGATGTGAAAAAGCACGCTCGACGGGAATCGTCGTCCCCAGCTCCTCCATCGCAACGAAAAGCTGCCAGAACATCCGATTCGGGTCGCCAAACTGAACGTTCCACTCGGGAAACAGATCATGTAAAGGAAAGGAGGAAGCCTGAAGCTGCCGGCCATGAGAAGGATAAACGAGTTGCATCCGGGGGGAATCGGTTGAAGCCGCCAAACAGAGAAAGCAGCAATCTTGACCAGTCTGCAGGCGGATCTGACCAAGAAACACGCCCAGACCGTAAATGCCCAAAGGATTCTGTACCCTCTCACAACGGGGATGAGCCTGTCAAGCGTCGGCGCCTCATTGCGGGCCGGCCTCCTGACCGAGTGAAGCGAAGGGAGAGCCTGATGTCGTCTGATTCACTTTCTAGCCGTGAGGAAACTATTAAACAACGGAACGAGCCTGCAAACCCTGACGTAAAGCCATCTAAGGAGGCGCCGCCACGGAAACGTTCTCGAAACAGTGTATCACCAGAACCATCACAGCCCCGTGGCCGTCAACACAAGGAGGACAGTGTTCGTGACGCTCAAAATCAAAAGAAGCGGAGACGCGTCCAGTCTGAAGAGAACGGTATATCTTCCTCCAATAGCAGTGCAACACAGAAGCCTCTGGAACTACCAGTACCTCCCTCAAAAACTCAGCCGAGGCAGAAAAACAATGCCCCCAAGTTAGGCCACGAAAAATCTCGTGGTGGTGATAACGATGTAGATAAAGAGTCTTCTGCTGCACAAGGCCCAATTCAGGAACGTCTACTAGCAAACAGGACCAAAGAACTCTGAGCCGCACATCAAAGACATCCCTATGGAAGATGTTGGT